CTGGGTGGGGAAGCAAGTCAGACAGAACTCATTAGAATATCAGAGGAAGAAAACAAGTCATTTGACAAGACCAATCTTGGTTCCAGAATTCAGTTAGGGAAAGCAAAAGGAATAGTAGGATGTCTGGATCCTTATCAATAAATGGTAACAAGCCAAACGTGTTAAGAAATGAATTTTTCCTCTCTGGGTCCTATCAATTTGCAAATGCAATGTCAAAATCAAGTGAAAAACATCTCTGAATGCACAAAAACCTGCAGATTTCAGGACTGGAAATTTCTAAAATGAAAACTCACCAGAGCTGTAATGTCACCGCAATGGGACCGGTGCTTCCAATTCAGCTAAATGCCGGATGCTTCATTTACCTTAGTAATGTGGTTTAAATACACAAGCCAAACAGAATGGAAGCAACTCAGAGGCACTGAGATAGAAGAGATTTTTCAGGTGGAAACTGAAAACAGAGAGAAAGGGGATAAGGTAGATGGGACAAAAACATCTAATATTAACACACGTACACTGCCAAAAAAATACGCTAGGCAGTTAACCAAAAGATTCCAAGGAGGTCCCTTCCCTGTGACTTTTCAGTTTAAACAGGTGTGACAAAATGAAGAAAAAGATCATCTTGTCCACGAGGGAGAGAGGCATGACTGCAAGGAGAAAAAACAATCAATATGTAATTTGGGCGATTTCTCGAGACCTTGGGGAAAGGGCTTATGAATGGTGTTTTTTAGGGGGGTTGGGAGGGCAAAGGTATAATTATAATGTAAATCTTCCAAAAATGTCAGCTATGGCCAGGTGATCTCTAAGTACTTGACCTATGCTAATTTAGTCCTCACAACGATTATGTAATGCAGGAACTATTATTATGACATTTTACAGACACAGCAGTAGAGATACAGGAAAACAGACTTGCCTAGAATCATATAGAATGGCTGGGCTTCCTCTACTAGGAACAAGGGATATTTGTTCAAAGATGAAGCTTTCTGTCTGTTGAGGATCCTGTTAGGTATCTTGCACAACATCCAGAATAATATCTATCGCAAGACAAGCAGGGTAATTAATTAAAACTAAAAAAGAAAGGATTTGGATTAGTTTCAACGAAAACCTCCCAAATGAAAGAATTTGCAAGAAGAACAAATCCACTAAGCAATACTACAGAATGTCCTTTGTAGAGATCAGAAGAGCTCTCCTGGATGGTATTTAAAATCCTTTCAAGTACTGAAGGGATTAACCTAGAAAGTTCCAGGTCCGTAAGTAGGAATATTGGGCTTTAATCAAGGAGACAAGTACACAAGAGTCTCCCCTTGTGTCCATCAGCTGGTCTATGCAAGGACTGTGCTTTGTCTTGATGCTATAACCACCAGTCTCTAGAACCCAGCCTGGTTCTATGTGTACTTAATAAATAGTTGGGGCGCCTGGGTGGCTCGGTCGGTTAAGCGTCTGACTTCGGCTCAGGTCATGATCTCACGGTCCGTGAGTTCGAGCCCCGAGTCAGGCTCTGTGCTGACAGCTCAGAGCCTGGAGCCTGTTTCAGATTCTGTGTCTCCCTCTCTCTCTCTCTGCCCCTCCCCTGTTCATGCTCTGTCTCTCTGTCTCAAAAATAAATAAACGTTAAAAAAAATAATAATAAATAAATAAATAAATAAATAGTTGTTGAATAAATGAACTAAAAAGAATAAAAGAATATGAAGGCGATGCGTTTCTGGAAGACTCTAGGTAGATTGGAAAGTTGAGGTGAAGACTGATTCAGAAGCCAATCCTGAAGAGATCTGAAGGGAAGCAGGACTACAGCACTGGAGTCAGAACCCTGAGTAAGTTTGACTGAAGAGAGTCAGAGACAGAAAATGAACGATAAAAGCAGCTTCGATGTCAAATTTGTTTTCACGAATGTCTCCATAAGCCCAAATCAGGAATTTCTTGAAGATGGGGATGTATTTTAAGTATCTCTTATTCTCAGCTCCTAGAATCAGGCTTGATATACAATTGTGCTAGAATGATTGCATGAATGGTAGGAAAAGACCACGTGAGAAAAATATATGTGAATGAGAATTTTAAGAATTTTTTTGAGGACATAGATTTTTTAAATTTAAATGTTAGTTAATATACAGTGCAATATTGGTTTCAGAAGGAGAATTCAGTTAGGTGAAAGATTTAGGAAACACCCTCAGAAAAGAGAAAATTGATGAGAACATAGGACTATATGTATAGTTCTAATATATGTTTTACATATAAATTATATATACGAACATACACAGACATCTATCAGTTGTGTGTACGTAAACAAAGTTTCTTCTTAAGATCTCCCAAGAGTGAGTTTCATTTAACTCCCCTGGTCATTGTTATTTCATTTCACACCATTTCTTCTCAATAGATAAGGAGCCCAAGTTCATGCCTCCTCTTATTTTGAAGAAATAAAAAATTTAACTGAAGGTTGAGAATGCGGGTGATGGAGCACCTTGGAACCTTCAGAAAGGGGTTAAAAAAAAAAAAAAAAAAAAAAAAAGGAGTTGGCAGAGAGGAGCCGGGCCATGCCAACCTCTTGAAATAACCCTACAGTGAGCACAACTATCTGAGCATTCCACACACCAGCGATGTTGTGGCACTCAGTATGGCTACCTTTCCATCTATCTTCTTGGATTTATTCCTTGATGTCAAGATTTTTCCCTGATTAACAACCTGATCCAACTTCTAAGAAACCCTAGTCTATAAAGGTCTCGTATCTTCATAAATTGATCCTAAAACACTCCACTCTTTCCTCCTAAACTCAGAAATTTTCAAGCAAGCAACCTGATTTCAGTTGGTCACAAATCTCCGTAAATGCCACAATATATACCTTATACCGGGATGATCTTCTTACTACAGAAGAGATACTGTAAATCCTAGGAAAACTACACTCTTCTCAGGGGTTAGCCTGCTTCTCCTGCGTTCTTGGGTGAGACACAGCCTAGGGCCCAGTCTTCTTCCAGACAGAAAGGGCCCTCCAAAAATATTTGTTAAATAAAGGACTTACTGAACGTGCCAAATTCCCTCCATAGTTTGCCACTGAGCACTCAACGCAGGATACACAATTAGATTCTACTCGGAAAAAAAATCACCTTCTTGAGACAGCCCCTCAACCGCAAATAGGACTATTAAAATTAAGGGGGTAGAATATCACGTGCCAAACACCACATTATCATGAGCCTGGAACTCACGTCCCAGTCTCAGAAGCTCTATCTTTTACCTAGGTCTCACGTCATCACACAAGAGGCATGAGCTAAAATGTTATCACCAAACTCTGTGGTACCCTCTCCATTGCCATGTCCATTACTGCAATTGTCGGTGAAGTTTTTTTCAGTAAAAGTAAACCATGCTTGGGAACAGACAGATTCCCATCTTACAAACCCCGGTCCTCGAATTCTTCTTTTATCGTATTGAATTTCAATGTTACAGTGGCACAGAATCAAGGCTACAAAAATTCCCTCAAGTGTTCACTTCAGTTGTCTTGACACATTCTCTATTTGTACCATCCAACTAACATCTATAAGAAACACCTTATCAATTAATCAGCAGTTTCTTACACCTGGAGGGGGTTTAATAAAAGTTCTGTGTCTAGCCTAGTAATAAAATCCTTACTAAGTATCAACCACATTTAAAACCAAAAGAATTCTCAAACCATACATTTTGATTCCATGAGACTTTTCCAATATGTTCTCTAATACTATGGTCACTGAGAAGCAGGGTTACTAGAAACCACAAAGTAATATCGGGGGTGGGAGGGAGGGGTGGGTTGGTGATGGGTATTTAGGAGGGCACCTGTTGGGATGAGCACTGGGTGTTGTATGGAAACCGATTTGACAATAAATTTCATGTTAAAAAAAAAAAAACAAAAAAAGAAACCACGAAGTAGTATCAAAATACTCAACCTAAAAGAGCAGTCTTTTAAAAATTGTTACGTAGAAAAATGTCTCCATTACAAGAACACTCGTGTTTTATAATTTTTGTAGTCAAAACAACAAAACCAAATGCCTTAAAGGAAAACCGGAATTTATTAACCGTGGTTGATTTAAATATTAATGCTATAAAAATCAAAGGTAGCTATAAAACAGACTGACAGCAGTAAACTTGCCCTAGATACAGCTCTCTAAAACACCTGAGAAGATCAACTAATACATTAGGAGATAAAAATAAGAAGGCACTAACACTATTAAAATGGCATAAAGTTTGTGTTTCAATTGCATCAAGTTAAAAGTAGGTCAGTTAGAATGAACTCAGAAAAAGTGACAGGGGTGGGGGGAAGGAAGGTCAATATCACAAAGTGATTAAAGAGATGGAAGAGAACTTTCTTCTAAGTCATTAAACTCACCAATATGATACTGAACTTCAGAGCACTCGCCATTTTCCTGTGCCATTAGAGAATTTAGTAGGTTCACTGAATTGACTGATTTCTTTGTTAACCTATTTACATGGGTTAAGACCCTGACTGACATAAAACACAACCAAAAAATCTCAGACAGAGAGTGTAATGAAAGACTGAGTGATGTATAGTTTGGGGTACAGCCTATCCAATAAATGTGCCTGACCAGCAAAGAACCCATTGGCAAAGATTTATTATCAGAACAAATACATTCTAAAAAGATCTAATACAATAAAACCTGCGGTATGAATACAAACTACCCTAAAATACAGTTCTTCGCCCTGCATAATGTATGGCTTATCTATTATATTAAAACTTCTTCATACTTTTCAATCAGGAAGAAATTTTTTGAACAAGTGAAACTGAAAAGTATGGAGCAAATGAAATAGAATGGTATGGTTCTCAAATTACAAAAAAAAAGTTTATTACTTGGAACTATTTGACAACCTTTAAAACATATATAAAGAGAAAGAAATATCTCTATTACCAAGGGAAAAGGTACAAATAAATCACTTACTAGAATAATAATGTTTTAATTCTACATCATGTCAATACCAAATTAGTACAAGCTTAAGCCAGACACAGAAAGGATTTTAAATGTTATTACCTCCAAGTTCCTTTACATTCAAGATGGCATTCTGGAAGGGCACTGCTTTTATACTGAAACCTAAAATTAGAAAACAAAAACAAAAAAAGGAATTAGCAACTTAACTTTAAAAAATGCATAAAATGCTCAAATCCTTTTTTAGGCAGATTAAGAGCTAATTTTCAGAGCTCATATTTATGCCAGAAACACAATTTGAGATAAACTGATGACACATTATCCTGTTCAAATTTTCAAAATATAGCTGTGTATTATAGTGAAATAACTCTTTTCTTCACAATACTACCCTATTCTTTAATATGTTATGTCACTTGTAAATTTTGTCAATTATAATAAAGACATTTGGAAGTGCAGAGAAACTCCAAAGAAAATATTAGATCTACTAGGACCTTTGCATCTAATTCTTAGTTTTCTCTCATACAGAACTCAGCGACTCTACAGATGAAGGTACCTAAATTACAACCATCTTATATTAGAATTACACAGTATTTATGTCAGAGTTTTAAGACATGGTTAATATTATGTAAACATTTTTCTTACAAGTGCAATTGTAATTGTCTATGCATAGGAAACTATTTTATAATGCATGCAGTAAATGATTTCTATTAAAATATATTCAGAGGATAAATTTTTGATCATGTATTGAGCACTGAACTATTATCATTCAAGTCATGATGGATTCAACATATCTGGTTCACAGGTTTTAGTACAGAGGCTTATCAGGTGCAACATACACGCGAACATATATGTATGCACATATGCCAACAAATATACTTACGATTTCTAAAAGGATCCATAAGAAACTAGTGAGGATTCTTGGGACAACCGGAGATCAGGAGGTCTTAAACCGAAGATTTTTTTCTTTCATTTGAATGTTTTGCTATTTACAAGTACTTTTTCAATTAAAAGCCCTACTAATAAGAGTTAATCTCTTCAGTAATTTCTAACCACCCAATTAATCTAAGGTTTGAAACATTAGTATGGGCAACTGTAAGATAAATCATCATTCCTTTTCAAGAAATTAGAGCAAAAGATTTAGAAATACTTTTCATTTGAAGTTATAAAGTTATGACAGGTACCTGGAGAGGTAAAAAGATATACAGTATGGGGGCGCCTGGGTGGCTCAGTCGGTTAAGCGTCCGACTTCGGCTCAGGTCATGATCTCACGGTCCGTGAGTTCGAGCCCCACGTCGGGCTCTGTGCTGACAGCTCAGAGCCTGGAGCCTGTTTCAGATTCTGTGTCTCCCTCTCTCTCTGCCCCTCCCCCGTTCATGCTCTGTCTCTCCCTGTCTCAAAAGTAAATAAACGTTAAAAAAAAAAAAAAAGATATACAGTATGATGTAGATAAGAACAATTCTTTTACATGGGTTTGTTTTACTCTATAAAAATGAAAGTCAGTATGTACCTTTTTATATTCACCCTATTAACACCACTGTTTTGTTATATGTTGTCCTAGGACTTCCAAATTCTATATACTGTCTTCCACCTTAAGCAGTGAATATCAGGTAATGGCTAAGAAGTAACTTTGGAGTCTGATGGAACTAGGTTTAAGTAAGCAGACTGTGGGCAACCTACTGCTTTCAACATCCCTAAAATGGGAATAATAGCATCTACGTCATGTAGTTGTTACAAAATAATACAATGTATTATGTTTATCACAGTACCTGATACAAATAGGCATACAACATATAACTTCTAGTGCTCTGTATCAATCGATTCTGTATTGACGGTTTAGTCACTAGCTGTGCATACCTTCTGAATACATTATAGACTTTAAGAGAAATCCTGGGGGCTTATTTATTAATCTAAATAGTTACTTGGAGCTACAGATATCACCACTGAATGACAAGAACCCTTGTGAGAGTGACAGAAGTAAACACTAGTTGAAGTTTGTTATATAGGATGTAAATGTTCATTGGGCCCTCTAACAATCTTCTGAAACATACCCCTCCTGTATGGGTTTTATGCAGACACAGTCACCACAGCTTATGGTTAATAGTGCATGTAGTCACAGAATCTCAGTAAAATAGCAGAAGGAATGAGGAGGCTGCGGCACTGGAATGTACCTGGGCCTGCAGAAAAGCCTCTCCAGGTGTCTGGCCTCTGGGAAATTAAGGAAAGTCAGTGCCAATCACAATATTCCTGCTGGCACTGAAAATGTGCCTGCAGGAGACTTGGATGTTTGAATGTATCTACCTACCCCTCACGGGGGTGTCATATGGATTAAAAGGCAATGATTGTGAAATCCTGAAAATGAAAAGCTCTCTGCAAACGCTCAACAGTCTATTAGTGGTTATATTCAGGACAACTCAAGTGAAGATTTTCCAGAGAAATGAGATAGGCCCCAACTTTGAAAAAGACACAGTTATGGAACACACCAGCCATGTTTAATCTGCTTTGATTCTTTAAAGCTGACAACAAGCAGGTACCCAAGGAAAGGAATATCCTTCCAGAAATTGCTGCACTCATATACAAAACACTCATATTCAAAAGTTTTGAAATTTAGAATCCAACAGGCAGATTATATCATTGTTACCATCTTTAATCCTCACACAGACATAATAAATCGGCTGCAAAAATGTCCTCAAATGTTCACGCTAAGCAAAGTAACCTAGCAATGTTATTTATAGGCATATAAATGTTTCTGCAGAATACTCATAAATGTTTTCTCTCCAAATAGAACATATGTGGCTAGATTTATCCTGCAAAGGTATATGCGCTCTTCCATTTTGCTGCCTTCATATTTTTACAGTATGACTGTAGTAATGAATGTTCAGAGGACAAAGCCTATGTAATCAGTCCAGAAAATAAGAAAAATGTACTATGCATTGAAAAGAATTTGTAAAAATTTTAGTCATTCTACACATTTGCAAGGATTCAAAAGAATTTAAATTTAAAGCCACGCTTTCAGTTCAACTAGAAGAGCAATCAAGAAGGGTGACTATTTGGGGCACATGGGTGGCTCAGTTGGTTGAGTGTCCGACTTCGGCTCAGGTCATGGTCTCACAGCTGGTGAGTTCAAGCCCCGCATCGGGCTCTGTGCTGACAGCTAGAAGCCTGGAACCTACTTCGGATTCTGTGTCTCCCTCTCTCTCTGCCCCTAATCCACTAGCATCCTGTCTCTGTCTCTCTCAAAAATAAGTAAAACATTGGAAAAAAAAAAAAAAAAGAAGGGTGATTATTTGATCAACTCTATTTTATTCCTTTACACTGGGTTAGATGAGGTTGGGGTTGGGGGTGGGGGAATGTTAACATTCAGTAGGGATATAAAGGTCAAACCATCAGAATAGTGTTTTTAAAGGTTGTTTTGAGGAATAAAAATGGCCAGATAGCATGGGCCCCAAAGACAGAATGTCTGGGTTCCAATTCTGGCTCTATTATTAACTGAACAAGTTACTTAATGCCTCCGTGCCTCAATTTCTTAGTCTGTAAATGAGAACAGATAGCACCCAGGGCTATAAAGTGTTTAGTAAATAAAAGTTGAGACTATTAATGGTCACCAACTGACTACTGAGGCTTTAAATTCCTCCCAGTCAAAATCATGTGCAGCCTTAAGGTCTGAAATATTATGAAAGCATTGGTAAAATAAAAGTTGTAGTAGCAATTGAAAACATTTGAGGACTTCGACAGACTAAGTATCTGGAGTCTTCCATAGCTCTTCCTTTTCCTCTCTCCTAATCCTAACCCACAAAGCCTGTGACTTCCATCCACAAAATAGTTCTAAAATATGTCCACTTCCTTTCCATAACTGGCCAAGTTGCCACCTCCACTGCCACCACCTGGACAACTTCAAGGGCCTAACTCAACTGTCTGCATCCATTACTGGCCTGCTCAGTCATCTCCACACATTAGCAGAAGCGATCATCCTGAAATTCACATCTGTTCACATCACTCCCCTGGTTAAACCCTTTGGGTAGCTTCTCACTACTCAGGATACAGTTATACAGTTCAAAACACCTAACAAGGCTCTATCTAATATCTGGTTTCTCTTCCCTTTTCCAGGCTTAGTTTGTACCATTTTCCCCCTCATGTTAGTCTTCGGTTCCTAAAACAAGCTATGTCCCTTCCAACTCAGGACCATTGCACATACCGCTCCATTAGTGTTCCTTGGTCCCCTGGCCAACTCTTCATCCTTCAGGTACAGTTTTTACTTCATCAGGCAAGCTTTCTATGGCATTCTTGAAATAGATTGATTCTGGGGGATTCATGTTCTTCCAGCATGCAGTTCTTCTATGTAATTTTCAGTTATAGTTACTTATCAGTTTGTTTTAGGTCTATTCCCCAGTTAGACGGCTAGAATCCATGATAAATAAATAGTGCATAATATACCCTGTATGCCAGTGATAGGCACATAAGAAGATCTCAATATTTCTTTAAAGATCTATACTAAGGGTTTATATGTATTTCCCAGTTTAACTGTCACAACAATCCTAGTATCAGTACTACTATCCCAAGAGGAAAGTGAGCCAAGGGTTAGGTGGCCAAGAGTACTATGTGCCATATTCAAAACTTCAACATAGGCCTTGTCACCAAAGCTCTATACCTCCTCTGTATACCAACATCTTGATCAAGTCACAGTATTCTGTCCAATTTTGAACTAAATACAGGTGAAGCCAATTGTAAAAATATACACTTGCCCAATAAACCCACTATTTTGCCTATTTATAAATAATGCAATATATAAGTAAGTGTTCTCAGTTCCATACTACATTGCTTTATTTGCGGAATAAAAATAGCCATGAGTTCAAAAGTAGTTTTTTTATGGGCATTATTAGTAAAACCAGAACTTATGAGGGGAGAGAAAAGGTCCAACTGACTCAGCCAGGACTCGGGGCTGGATCACCGTTATTTCTCCTCAAAGTAGGCATCCTGATGCTCTCCACAGGTAGCCAATGTGCTGATGGGATAAGAGCACTGTCCTAGAGGTACTAGCCACAGCTCTTAGACTCACCAGCCACTTTTTTCTTGACCTTGAATTGCTCATCTGCAAAATGAGTGTGGATTAGCTTAGCTCCTTCAAGTTTCTTCTAGAATTAGGATTTTATTATTTATATTAAACAAGA